AAACCATCGGATGCCGCGTAAGCTAAGTAACCATCTTTTATCCCAGTTGAAGCCGCAAGGAGATAGCCCTGTGGATTTACCTGTAACTAGCCTGTCGCTGCTGCTGCGACAAAAGGGGGATCAGGATTCCTGGGGAAGGAATCACAAATAAAACGTTTGCAGTGTGATTGCTTGGAAGACTGAGTAGCATTCTAGAATGGTTGCAACATCTCAAAAGGATATTGCGGCTCTGGAAGAGCAGCTGCATAAGGGCAGCCAAGATGATTGCAAAGCATTCCTTAGAAGGGGCATGCTTTGTCCACCAGGCGTCTGCCAAGCCGTACCAGCCAGAGTGGCCACACTTACCAGAACATGTCCTCTATTTAATGTTTCCCATGTCGCCAATACAGCATCTCCACGAAGCATGAATACTGTAGGGTTCTAATCAGAGCTGTGTTGGACCTCAGGGAACCAGTGCAAGTAGAAAGATACACAATATCTACAATTCTGCAAAGTTTGGGCTGGACATCTTTAATCTATCAACATTAAGGCAAGCTATAAAACATGTGCGCATGTTGGAACCCCACTGTGAGCAGGACACACCATCAGGACCGAAAACAGATGATTAAAGCTTCCATCTCCGGACACCGGCATAATATCCTTATTGTAACTCCAGTTCTCATGCCTGATCAGGCTAGAACATAAAGCAAAACAAGCTCACTCGGGGCAAGAATGAGGGGGGAAACTCACATTAATGAGTGCACGGTGCATCTGGGACTTCATTACAGCCTCAACTTAATTCTCTGTCTTTATGTAACAGTAATGAAATCATGAGATCGGACTCTTCTGCTCCAGTGAAGAATGAGGCCCTATTTGTTCTCCTAGGCCAATTATCTTACTGAAAAAAAATGTATAAATGATTTCCTAACTTTAAAGGGGTGCAGAGAGTCTGTATATCCCTGACTTTATGCTATTACTCGTTTAAGGAGCTTTGTTGGCCTTTTGTGCGGCATGGAATGATTCAAAACTGTTAATCTCTGAGCGCTGCCCTGGGTGTTTATCAACCCTGCTCAAGAACAATTGTGCCCATTGTTCCTGAAGGCTGTTGGCCAATTCCTGGGTTCAGATGAACTTGAGGGTCTATTTGGGCCACGCGGCAGCTGCAAAACGGACACATGCCATTAACTGGCACCTGCTGAACCAAAAGTCATCAGCCCCTTTCAGTTCTAGTCAATGATTATTTCCCGTTAAAGTGCAATCTGCGGAGGGGGAGGGAAGGGTTCAGGTGGGTCAGGTGAATCCTCCAGAAGAGCTGGGGCGTGACACCACCTTTCCGAATGCGGACAGAGAAATACAGGAATGCTGGTTTCAACAACGAAAGAAACCCCCAGAAGCCAGGTGCTGATGGGGACGGGCCCAAAATCTCGCAACAGGTGTCGTGGCTATTTATTTAATTTTTATACCGTCCAAGTTCTTGGGGCAAGCCAGTGGCTGAACAGTGTGAAAACTCCTGGCGAAATCCATTGGCACGCAAGCATAACAACAGTATGAAGCAGCTGGGGAAAGTGGTTTGGAAGGGTGGGACAAAGCTCTGCCTCTTGTTTATTCTCCCTGCTCTTCTGGAGGCTTAAGCCGGTGTTTGGAAGCAGTTTGGGGATGGAGGAGGCCAATCAAGCTGAAAGCTGGCAAGGCAGAAGCACTGTGGGTGGGGAAACCAGTCGGTCTGTATGGAAGTATCCAAGTGGTACTGAACAAGGCTCCAGGCCTTCGGAAAGATCGTAACGCCAGTGATGCTGAAGGTGAGGAGCCCCAGCTGGCGTCTGCCAGCTGTGATCGTATGTATGGGCAGACCCCATCAATCACGCCCTGACAACGTTCGGAGCAGGCTGCTGCAAAGCATCTAAGCTGACTTAGAGCTTTTCAAGACAGTTCAGAAACTTCCACTGCTAGAAGGATGGATGCTTGTGGATGCCAAGGGCTGAGAGCAGATCACACTGCCTTTATATCAGCAGCATTTCGTACCCCGTATAGAGTGACAAATGCTGGACGTTCAAGCTAGATTCCAAAATGAAAGAAGCACTAGATATCATACTGCAAGTATACGTTGGCTACTGGAATGCGCCAAAGAATTTCGGAAGATCAGTCTATGCTTTGTAGGCTGCAGCAAAGCCTTTGACTTGTGGCCCACAAGAAGCTATGGGTGGTCCTGGAGAAATGGGGATCAGCCCTTGATTGTCCAGATGTGGAAACAGTTGCATGGACAGAAAGCTACTGTCAGGACGAAATATGAGGAAAGAGAATGGTTTCCCATAGGCCAAGGAACCAGACAAAGGTGTATTTTGTCTCTTTTTCTGTTCAAACTGTATGCAGAACATACCATAAGGATAGCTGGAATAGAATCAGAGGAAGGAGTGGAAATGGGGCAAGACACACCAATAATTCAAGATATGCAGATGCTACCAAACTACAGGCAGAAAGCAGAAAGGATATGCGATGGCTCCTGATGAAAGTGAAAGAAGAAATGAAAAGCAGCAGTGCAGCTGAACATTAGGAAAACACAAACCGCGACTGCAGAAGAACTGTACTGCTCGTAAGGAAGAAGCTGAAATTGTGAAAGACGCCACATCGATCGCCTCAGCCGTCCTTTCAAACAGAGGCTGCAGCCAAGAAATTAGAAGAGGCCCGAGACTTGGAAGGGAAGCGATGAAGCGACTAGCACAGTCGAAGGACGTTTCACCGGAGGCCAAGATCAGCCAAAGCACGGAATTTATAAGAGCTGAGCAGGGCTTCCCCAGTTGGGCTTTTGGAGGGCTTTCACTCAGAGGGTGTCCATCAGCCAGAAATGATTGAATGGCACATAACAAAACATCTGGCGCCCATTTGGGCTTGTGCCCTGTGTAAATGCTGCTGTTGACCTTTAAGCCCCAAACAACCACCTCTGCCTGGGCGGCCATCTCAGGCCAGGAACATTAGGGTTAGAAGTCCTGTTTGCAGGAGCATCGACGGTCTTCTAGGTCGGCAGGCATAAAAGGCAGGGCCTTTTTAGTGCTGGCTCAATAGACCTGGAACTTCTTTTGGTTCCTTCCTTGTTTGTTTCTAGGTGGTCTTTAAAATATTTTAATTCAATCCACTTCTGTTTAAAAGCATTTATTGATTGATTGATTGATTGATTTATGTCCTGCTTTTTTCCTACAAAGGGCTCAAGGCAGCTTACATCATCTCTCCTCCTCCATCTTATCCCCACATCAACAACCCTGTGAGGTAGGTTGGGCTGAGAATCTGTGACTGGCCCAAAGTCACCCAGTTGGCTCCATGGCTGAGCGGGGACTAGAACCCGGATTGTCTGAGTCCCAGTCCTGCGCTCTTAGCCACTACACCACACTGGCATGGGTAGCATTTTTCAACTTACAGGGCTCCTTTTATTATTTTATTTGCCAGGACTACAAATTGCTCTACACTACAGTTCTTAGTCTGAATGATTTCAAATATACTCTTGTTTTTTAAAGACAGTGATTGAAAGCCACCACCTTGGGAAAATGCTTGTTCCACATAAATTTGAAAAGGAGAGGAAACACAAGGGAACAAAAGAAAACAAAAGTTTGTTATATCGTACATGCAAGTGATGGGAGGATTGCTGAATCCCCTAGGTGGGTGTACTTCAGATAAGCAGAGTCCATCCTGCCGCCTACCACAGAGGGGGCTTCAAAACAGTGGCTCAGGCGAGCAGTCATATGCTAAAAATTAAAGTGCACCAAGCGCACAAGCGGCTCTGGGATTTGGTGCTCAGCAACCAGGCCCAAGTCCACAAGTTCTTTTGCACAAAAATCAATTCTTGGCTTCCTTCCAAGTCTTCTTTTGCAACAGCCTCAAGTAGAGGAACCTCAAGTAGAGGAACAGCTGGTGGCATTGCTAGAGGACTGGAACCACCCTGAAGGCGTGTGGTCCACAGCTTATTTTTAGAATTGTGGCCAAATTTTGCTCCAAGTTAACTTCAGAGGACTAAATCCTTTGAGGAATTTCAAAAGAAGCCAAGATGTTTCAATGAGCTTGCAGGATTTCTCGAGGGAGTTGAAGCATCTGTGCTATCCAAGCGTTTGGACCTGGGTGTTTTCCATGAAGGTTGTGTGTGGCAGTCAAGAGTACGGCGCTAGAAGGTTGCCAGCAGTGATGGCTTCCAGGACACTTGGCTGGCGATGGAGGAACTCCCTGGAAGAGTGCTCTGTTTTGTCCACACGGGAGTCAAAAGGGTTTGCTTGAACGGAGTAACCGCCATCACCTTAGAGGCTTCTCTGTTGCACCGGTTGCCAGTGGGTTTGTTTGTTTTCCACAACTCTAAGCAACATTCCTCGGTTGGCGTTGTTGCGAGTGTCGCCTTTCTATCTCGACTCACGCATCGCACGGGCCCTTGCAAATTCCAGACCTGCTCACTTGCCCTTTTCTCGGTAAACAGTGCGCTGTACTCTGCCCCGGAGCTGTTAATGTGCTGCAGAAACAATGCGGAGAGATAAGCGCCGCATGACGTTTCCCGCGTCGTCTCGGGCTGCACGGGAGGTTTTTCCGGGCGCACGACTCGCATTGCGCCGTTTATGCCCCCGCCGGAGGACGAACCCTCCTCGCGGACTCCTGCTCTTGCGTAACAGGCGCCGAAGCCCCGTCTTGGATCCCTCGCCTGCTCCCGGGTCACGGAGGACAGAGACATTCATGCGCCCCTGGAACTGTGGCAATGGGCATCGCGGGGCTCCCATTGGCCGGGCCCAGGCCAATCCGGGCGCGCCTTTCATTTGGCTGGCCCTTATGCCCCTGCCCGGCTCGGCTCGGCTCGGCGCACACCGTCCGCGCGCCCCGCTGGCTCGTTCCCCGCGCGCTGCCCGCGCCGAGCCGAGCCGCGCCGAGCCGCGCCGCGCGCTGCCCGGGCCGGCGAGAGCGCGGCTCCCCGCTGACATCACGGCCAGATGCGCGGCCCCGCCACGCCCCCGCGGGGGCCCGGAGCGCCTGGCGCGGCAGTAACGGGCCAGCCCAGTCGCGCTGTCAGGATGCAACGAGGCGGCTGGAGGGCGGCTGCCGCTGCTGCCGCTGCCGCTGCGCACGGCCGCCGCTGATCTCGCTCCCAGCAACAGGCTGTTCCGGACGGAGTTCGCTTTGCTGCGCGGGCTGACTGGATGCCTGTCCTCTTGAGCCACGGAGGAGCTGGGTGTGAGCCTCGCCGGCGCGGCACGATTCCGGGAGCCCCGAAGCCCGCGCTCGCTGCGCTGCGCGCAAGTCGTCAGGTGCGTTTGTGCTTGAAGCCACGCAGCCGGAGAGCTTGTCGCGGCGTGAAACATGGCAACCGCCGCCTACTTCGCCGCCGAGTGCCTTGTTTCCATGTCCAGCCGCGCCATCGTACACGACCCGCCGGGGGAACAAGCCCCGCAACCTGTTGGGACGGGCTCGCCTCTGAGCGCCTCGCACCGAGATGAGACATGCGAGGCCAAAGATGCTGCGAGAGACAACGGCGGGGGGTCCTCCGTGTACGCCGTAGCGAGCATTCTGGCCGACCTGAACCAGCATGTCCCAAAGCCTTCCTCTCCCCAGGTGGAGAAAGCGGAGGTGGTGGGCAGAAGGGAGGACCAAAATCCTTCCCTGCCTTGCGAAAAACTTGGGGAAGAAAGTCTCTTGCCGGCCGGCAGATGTGGAGGAGTAAAGACGGCCACACCTATCAGTTTGGTTGCAAGGAGTGAGCCAAGCCCCAAACAAAGGAGCAGGAGAGGGAAATGCTGGCTCGGCCCCGAATTACCTCTGAAGAAGCATAAATGCCACTATGTGGGATGCGAAAAGGTTTATGGCAAGTCTTCCCATCTGAAGGCTCACCTGAGGACCCATACAGGTGAGTGCTTGGCTGGCCTGCGGGCTTGTTTTTCACTGCTCGGTGGTGGTGGTGGAGCTGAAGTTCTGGACAGGTTAATGAGAACCGAAAAGCTTACCTCATAACCGCTGTTGCTGCCATAGCCAAGCGTATACTTAATGAACGCTGGACAGTAATTGCTACCTGCGATTTTTCCTTTCTTCTCTCCCTCTCCCCCTCTCTTTGCTTCTTCCTGCTCTCTTCTAACCTAGTGCCCTATTTCCGGGCATTGTTTCCACTTCTCTGCTTCTGGCATTACCCTGAAATGAGCAGAGCAGGCTGTTTTGGTCTCTGTCGTGTTTCTGATGCAGAGAAGGAGGGCTTTTGGTGCTGTCTACATTGGGAGTGTTCTGGTACTGTTGACAACAAACTGTACTGAGAACAAGTGTGTTAAAAATGGCCCAGAAATTAAATGCATTAAAAGCAAAGGGATGCAAGGAACAGAACCCATAAAAACACAGAGAGAGAGTTAGAGTTAGAGAGAGAGAGAGAGAGAAAGCGCCAAAGAGCAATCTGCACAGAGAAGTGGAACAAATAGTACTTAAAGCAAACTTCAGATACTGCCTATATGTTCTCAAGGTTCTCTGCACTTTTATTCTGTACATTTTCACATGGAGGAGAAATCCCCTTGTGGAAACCACAGCCACACCGAGTAACCGTTAATCAAGGGAATGGAAGGTTGGCCTGCCAGGAAGTAAATGCCCGTTGGGTGTCCCCCTCTCTTCCCCCATATATTTTGTTTTTCAGTTTGTATAACCAGCTGCTGGCTAGACTGGTTCATGGGGCTTCTCGTGTGCATTAATGCTGAATGACGCAGGGCTGGTCCAAGGCTGTGTGATGTGTGAGGTGGCCAATCCAAATAGCAGCCTCCTCCCACCCAATTCACGCAGGACACAGTCCTCGCAGAATCTCAGCAAGCGCACGAGGCTTCCACATCCCCTTCCATTACCCCGGGAGGGCTTCCGGCCTGCTTATGCACCATGGGCTGCACCGCCCTGCCTCCTGGGCTTCCATATTTAACTGCTCTCAAGATTTCTGCTGCCTGAGACCAGGCGAAGTGGCTCCCTCATGGTACAGCCCTCCCTGGGCCGGCCTTCCTCCCATTTTGTATCCCTGTCGAGTACGGCTCATGCATCCGAGTTTTGCTTGCCTCGAGCAGCCCAAGAGAACGCGGGAGCGTGAAGGCCGTGTGGCTCAAGGCGCATGTCTCTTGCCAAGGTGCCATGTCCCCAACGGCGAGACATCTTGTCCCCGAAGGCTTCCCTGCACAATTGCAGCCCGCTGGCTCGAAAGGGCGTTACTTCCAAGCAAGCATTCTTTGCATTGCTGCTCCTGCCACACTCCCTTGCTCCAGCTTTTATGTTTAATGAGGAATATTTATCCTCCCTTTGCACTCCAACTTGGCAGATTTTCCATGGATCACGCCCCAATCCGTTCTTGCCCAAACTTCTCCTTTCTTTCCTCTTAAACATGGAGACAAAAGGATTTTAGGCTCATAAAACCAATGGAAACTTCGGCAGAGGAGGCTGTTGGGGGAAACTCCTCTCTTTGATACTGAGAAGGGCGGTTTGGCAGCTCGTTCTCTGGGGAGAGGGAGGGGAGGAAAGCGTCCGCAAACGTCATTCGAGAGCAGACGGAGCAACCAGGAGTCAAATGGGGACACGAGCTTTCAGCCACACTTTCTTTGTTATTGCCGTTTTTTTCAGTGCTAACCGCCTTCCTTGCTCTGTTCTCCCAGACTGCAAGCTTTGGTTGTGCGGCTGGTGTAACTAGTTGGAAAACAGAAGTGGCGAGAGGGTTCAGTGCAGGAGAGGCCGATTCCCAAAGGTCTCCACGCGGCTTTGTTTAACACTTTCCCAACCAGGCAAGGCCCTGCAGGGAAGCTGGGAAGGGCCCTTCCCTGCGCGGTTTCAGAGGGGCAAAAGGCCATCTGCTCATCTTCCTTTATGGCAAAAGGACCTTGCAGTCAAGGTCAAAAGAATTCTGCCACCCCTTCTTATTCCAGTGGGTGTGTATCGCGGGGAGGAATTGCTCTGGGCAGCCCGGGAAGCCAGCTCAAAAGCAAACCTTGGCAAGAGAAAGGAAGGACTGGGCAGCACTCAGTCGTAATAAAGAGGAGTGTATTTAGCAGGCTTGTAAGTGGTGGCGTTTTCTCTTGTATGGGGAGCATTTCTCTATTACTGACTCAGAAAGAAACCTGGTGAATAGGAAGGTGTATATGTGGCAAAATCCGCTTGGTGGTTGGCCATTCGGAGCTAGTTTTATCCCAAGTTTTGGGACAGCAGCTGAAGCAATTGCCATTTCTTGGAAAAAGTGTCTACCATTTTCTTGGGTTAAAACTTCACTGAGATTTTCCCATTCCTTGGCTGAGTTATCCGGAAAGTTCAGTGGGCATTCCCAGCAGAGAGATCCTCTTCCACGTTGGGTGCCATGGTTTTGTCAAAATTTCCTCTTCAGGGAGAGGAAGTCCTTGAGTTGGGAATCAGCTACTGAAAATGTTCACATGTGGAGAAGACTGGATGTTTGCCATTCGGTGTTTTTGGGGGCAAAAACAGAAGTTGTGACAACAGGATGGAATATTTTCTTTTATTCCTGAGAACAGACTTCTCCTTCTGCCAGAGGTCGTTGTTCCCCTGATAAGTTAGTGCTTTAGCACCCTTGTTTTTATCTTGGCTAGAACATTCTTCAGCTTCAGAGTGGGCCCAGCCTATCAGGAATCGTACCGAGCAGGGCCTTCTCTGTGGTGGCACCCAGACTGTGGAATGTGCTCCGCAGAGAGGTTTGCCCAGCGCCAAGTTTCGGTGCCAGGTCAAAACCTTTTTTATTTAACTGTTATTTTAAAAGTTAGTATTTTAATGCAACAGTCGCATTTTATTGGTTATATGTTCTTCATGGTTTAGATTGTTTTTAATGTATTTGATTTTACTGATTGTGAGCTGTCCCAAGATGCCCTGCATAAGGCACAGCATATAAAAGTTTTAAATAAATAAATGTCACTGAGGTCGGATGTTGCTCATGACATGATGCTAACAGGTGGCTTTCAACAAATCTAATAAAATAAATAGATAAAGAAATGAGATTCCGCTCAAGTGAGGACAGTACTCCTGGGCACGGTTGTAGCCTGTTACATACACCAGGGCCAAGGAAGCTGATCTGAGATTTGGCAACAGTTCCTAAACAGGCGGAAACTTTCATCCCCCTTTGTGGTGATTTGTGGAAAGCTACAAAGCTGTCCATGAAAATTATCTTTCCCCTTTCATTTCAGCCCCAGTTCATGCATTGCAGTTGCCTCAAAGAGGCCAAGTTAATTGGTGCGCATGCTCTTGTGGGAGAGCTCACCACGGAGATCCGGATGCTGTGCTCACCACACCCCTTCAAATGTTCCTGCAAAATGGTTGCAGAGCTCAGAGTGCACAGTACCCTGTGGAAAGTGAATGGACCACGTCCTCTGGCCGAGCTAAGGCTTGCCCCCATAGGGTGGCCTCAGCGTGAGAGATGGCAGCATTTAGCTAGAATTAGAAAACTGTGGTGGAGCATCATGGATTATGCATCCAGGCTGCCAAACAGGCCAGGTTCAGTTGCTGCCGTTAGCAGACAGGTCAATGCAGCAAACAGAAATCAGATGTATAAAGCAGCAAAACAAAACAAAAAACCAATGAACAAAAGAAATCGGAACGAAAGGGCTACTTCCACAGGACATATTCAACAAGCTAGTTTTTTAAATAGACCATTTATCTATTTGTTGTATTTCTATACTGCCCACAGCTGAGAAACAGGAAAGCCAAGCTAAAAGGAAACTTAGTTACATCCATCTGGCTGCTAGACAACTCCCCATTTCTAACACCTGGTTACACCCCAATGCTTTCTGATGTACCCAGACCTCTGCACTTTCAGTGCCTCACTTCCTTTACCTAGTAACTGTTTAAAAAAACAAATGAATTAACCCTTCGCTTGGACTTGTTTGTGCCACCGCTATTCCAACATTCTCCCTTTGCACACAGTTGCACTGCATTGTGGCATTTGAAGTCTCCATCCGGTGCATGGACGTTGTGCGTGCAGTTATGATTTTGTTGTGTTTCATTGCATTGTTTTAACCTATTTGAATCGGTTCCGGAAGCCGTCTTGAGTGGCATTTTTGCAGAAAGGAGCAATGTAGGCAAGTTGTAAGTATAGAAGAATCAGTGGGAAAGGGAAGCTATAAAATGAGCGTTTGCACAAAGATCCAGGCATTTCTGCTCTGACAGAATGGTAGGCCCTTAAGGGGAACCTCTGGCTGAAGTTCTACACTGAAAATGCCACTTTTTGCTTGCACCTCTCCATCTTGCTCAAATATGAAACATTAGGATTTCAAAGGCTCTGTGGAAACAGGGAGTTTAAACAGGCAGAGGGAGATGTCTGGGCTAGGACAACATGACCTTGGGAAGATGCTGGGAAGGGAACTTGGTCACAACTGTTCTCAGTGAGGTTGGGAGGTGGGAGTTGTTTCCTACTTGTGCTTCAACGAATCCAAAGACATCTTCGCATTTTTGGAATTAACACTGATTTGCACGAAACAAGGGCAATACGTGGCATGAATGCCACAGTCTGCCCAGGGCAACAAACACTGACCAGCACCCCCAAACGCCAGCAGAATCCGTCCCTTGCTCCGAGAGCCCCGGCGGCGAGCCACTACCGATTTCTGTCCTTGGGCATTTCAGGTCCTGCCTGAACAAGGATGTGCCAAGCAGGGCTACTCACATGCTTCGCCAGACTGGATAGCGTGCGGAGGTTTTATATGACAATTGCAAGTTAAGATAAGCCCTGCAGGCTATATAGGCAAACTACCCCATAATGACAGATTTTAGGGAGACGGAGTTGCATGGGGCAACTTTTCTTTTTCTTTGTTGCTGCTGTGCTCATAAACAGCATTTTTCCCGCTGCGAGATGATCAAAGAGACATAAGCTCACTTACGAGAAGGAGAAAGAGGCTGGAGGCTGGGGTG